TCTACTTGATGTAGTTTCAGAATAATTCTTATGTAGGTCATTAACTTTCCAAGATTCCTTTCACAAAATGATTTTTAACACTTTTGTTTATATCTAGTCCATGATTGCATTTATGATCTTTTATATTTTGCTATAAACATATTAGTTCTCTTTTGTTTACTCTTTGTCCATAAGCTGTATACTGCTTTCTGAATCTTAAAATTTAAAGTTTCTTGTGAGTCGATGGGCTTCAGTGGAATTCTTTTGTAACTTCAGAAAGTACTATTAAATAATTAATATTGGGGACCTCTAAGTGCATGTTGCAAATTTAATGAGTTATTTTACAAATAGCCCCAAAAGATCTAAACTTATTAAAAAAATTTATAAAATGCCAGCTACTTATAGGTGAATATACAAATTAAATCAAATAATTATTTTTCTAGTTCTCTCGTCTCCCTCCCAGATTTAAACTAATTTTAAAAAATCTGTTACTGCCTTTACTTTGCCTTTCATATAGTTTTGTAGTTTTTACAAGACTCCAAAGGGCACACATGGCAGTTCAGCCTGGTGTGTGTGTGACTGTTTATCTTGCCTTCAATCAGCCTATTGCAGAGGGTGGGTGATAGAGCGATGGCTGGGGCTGCAGGACTCGGGCAGCCTGCATATCTCTATTTTCTAGCCTCTCACTCTCCATTTCAGATGACAGCAGCTTAACGGTTGTTGAAGTTGTCTTGACACTATAAGGGACCAGTATTTGAATAAAGACCTTACATTTATTATTGCTGTATTGATACTGTTCATGTATAATCAATTCATCTTTATGATATTAAGTTAAATATTTGTAAGGATGATTTGTCCTAGAATTTGGAAGCAATATAAGTATATGTATATTATTAAAATCTTGGATGTGTAAAGTCAAGATCAAGCTCTTATTTTTCTGGGAGTGTGTGCTATTAGTAAGGAATAGTTGGTAATAAAAAGATACATGCCCTATGTCTGCCTGCTGTCCTTTATCTGATAAATGCCAACGGGTGAATGAGAGGGATATATAGAAATATTCAAGAAGGTTTAGTCAGGCATAGAAATCCAGACAAGAAACTAAGGCATAAGCCAGGGTCAGAGAAGTCCTAGGGATTTTAGGTATTTATCTTTGGAAAACTAGAGGCACTTAATTATTTACCACTTAAACTTTTTGATAGAATTGTTAAGTTTTAATGGTATGTGTGGACGATTCCTCTGTGCCTCTACCCGTGGTTCTCAACCTTCTGGCCCTTTAAATACAGTTCCTCATGTTGTGACCCAACCATAAAATTATTTTCGTTGCTACTTCATAACTGTAATGTTGCTACTGTTATGAATCATAATGTAAATATCTGCTATGCAGGATGGTCTTAGGCGACCCCTGTGAAAGGGTCGTTCGACCGCCAAAGAGGTCGTGACCCACAGGTTGAGAACCGCTGCTCTACACTGATAGGATTGATAGTTCAAGTTCTCACATTTGGTAAAACTTTGTCCTGAGGTATCTGTATTGGTTAAGTGGGTATGTAAAAACAGTGCTGTGAAGTCAACACCGAGTATGAAAGTTTGGTAGGATTGCCATGACACTGGCACAGGGCTTTGCGGTGCGGGAGGAATCTTAAGGAAGTTACTTCAATAACTGTTTTTAGAGTTTTAGAGTCTACAGTTCATAGGTGCTCAATTGGGATGGTATTTGGGGATGTGTAGATGGTTTGATTGTCAAAGTGTGTGAAGGCACTACTGGCAATGGTTGGACAGGGCAGTGCTAAATGGCCTTAAAGGAAGGGACAGTCGCCCAGTCCAAAATGGAGTGGTCCTCAAAGTCTCAATTCTTTTGTTGTAACATCTCTTATTTTTAATAAAAAATATACTTAAAATATCATTTGAGAAGTGTTGGATTTGCAATGCATTTGGTATTGTAGAATATTTTAGATATATTATTTGACTTGTTGTAAGCTAAGAGGGAGAGAGAAAAAAATGAGGGTCTGGTTTTAGCCATTAGGATTTGAAATGATTGACAGAAGGGTCCAAGCATGTAGATAAGTAGTGAACTCTAAAAAAAAGATGTTAAGATCCTTTTGTTCTCTGGAAAGAAATGATGAGTGCATTCCTATTTGGACAAAGAGGGAATGACAGTGTAGAAAGAAGATTATTAATCATGTAACAATCTGAATTATATTATAAAATTTTTTATTAAGAAAAAGTTGAGATAACAATAAAAGAACAATTGGCCCTCTGTATTTACAGGTTCTGCACCTACAGATTCAATCAATCAAGGATTGAAAATATTCTGGGGCGGGGGTGGGTTTGGGGGGGAGTTAGGTTGTTGCAGATGTGTACCATGGAGTTAGGTTTACAATGATTGATGATTGCATCTATACTGAATATTTACAGACTTTTTGTCCTTGCGATTATTCTCTAAACAATACACTGCAACAACTATTTACACAGCATTTACATTGTATTAGGTATTACGGGTAATCTAGAGATGATTTAAGTATATGGGAGGATGTGCCTATGTAGGTTATATGCAGATATGCCATTTTATTTAAGGTGCTTGAGCATCTGAGGATTTTGGTATCTGTGGGGCAGTTGGGGGTGGGTCCTGGAACCAATCCCCTGAGATACTGAGGGGCTACTGTACTTTGATACTTTAGATATATGGTTTCAGATGTCAGGGTATCTCAGTTGTTTGAATTGTGCCTGTGAGCTAGCAACTGCAAAATGGGAAGAGAGAGAAGAAAATGTTGTTGTTTTTTTTTTAAAAAGGAGGGAAAAACAAATGGAAAGCACATGAAAAGAAGGAGGCTGCATCTGAAAAAAATGGCAGTTTATTCTTTCATGTCCTTAGGATAAAAGCCCTGGTGTCATCTCTGACTTCCCTCTTTCATACCTGGAATCTATCTAATCTGGCATCAAATCCTGGGACTCTATTTTGCAAATAGATCCAGGATCCAGCTACTTCTCACATTTTTTCTACTACCTGGGTCAAACCACCGCCGTCTCTTGCTAGGTTGGGCCATTAGCCTCCTAAGAGGTCTGCTTGCCTCCACCCTACTCTCTTACAGTCTCTTTTCAATATTATTTTGAATTAGCAAAACATGGTAGTTAGCCTGTCATATACTTTACAAAGTACTCCACTGGATATTTTAGGTACCCACCTGGCATCGTACATAGTTACTACAGTATTACTGGGCATATTCCCCATGCTGAAATTCACATCCCTGTGACTGTTCTGTAACTAGCAATGTGTAGTTCTTAGTCTCTTTAAATCTAAGTCACTTTAGATCATTCCTGCCACCTTCAGCCTCCCAGTGGCTTTCCATCTCTGGGTGGAAAAGCCATAGCCATTCTGGTAAACAGTGCTTATCTTGCAAAACGTTGTATAGCTCTTTCTGAAGATCTTTCATTAAAACATTTGTATTTTATTGTAGGATTTTTTTCGTTCTGTTCCTCGAAGAGAACACCCTGTGGCCAGTGTTAGTAAATCCACCTCTAACAACTTAGTGAGAAGCAAGTGAAAAACCTGGCATTTTATTCACTCCGGGACATTTTATTCACAAGATTTCTCCTAGTGGGACCAGTCAGTAGGCATTTGTGGTAGAGAGGGTCAGGCATGCACACCTCCTAGGCCACTAATCTCATCACTGTTAGACAGTGATTATGCATTTGTAAATTGATCACAATTTACAAATGAAAAGGATCAATTATATTCAGTATAGAATATATACTAAAGAAGGACATGTATCTGAGGAAGAAGCTCAATATTAAATTTGAAAAGAATGGACTTATGCGTTAACCTCCAGTTTTCTGAAATTGTGTTCACTGAGTATTTACTTACGAGTTTATATTGGTTTGGCTAGACTGAGCTCTTCAACAAGATGCAAGTTATGGAATACATTCCCTGTGCCAGTATGAATAAAAGCTAGTTTAGATGACCAGGCCCTAAAGGTGATCAGGTGAGTGTGGTTAAGTAGCTCAAGGGAAAAGAAACCCCAAACTGTCCTTGTTAAGGACCAGGGTAAAATGTAAAAGCCCCATTCTGCATGAAGTGGGCAGGCAGAATTTTCTCCTCGTATGCAGAATATCATTGAGTTACATGCTCCTTGGTTTATTAACAATTGGAACATACAGTTCTAAGGTGAGCAGTGTCTTTGGGGCGTAGGAATAAGAGATTATTGTAAGTAAATTCATGAAGAAATAGAATTATGCTTAATGGTGTGTGCATGTATACATGCTGAAAACTTAGAATATTACAGTGGAAGTGCTCCTGAAAGTGGCATGATTTTCATTTATTGTGAAAGACTTCAATTGACTCGCAGGACGTATGTTGCAGAGAGGACCATCTTTATAGACTGTTATTTAAAAACAAGTATGTCATGTTCACTTGTAAGAAATGATTTTGTATTCTTGTTATTTTATTATACTATGAGTATATTGAAGAAGAAATTTAAAGGAACAATTGTAGTTCTTTCCAAACAGCTTTTAATAAAACATTTGCATTTTACTACAAGGTTTTTGTTCTGTTTCTCAAAGAGAACTTGCTATGAAAATGTTATTGAATCCGCCTCTACTTCAGGAACTTGAAAAACAAAATAATGTAAAGGGGTCTATTTGTGTTTGTATTCAACTCAGTGTTGATAAAAGTAAGAGAAGGACATTAAATTGCATAATTTATGCAACAAGGCTTTGTGTTCATATGAACAAAGCTAACATTTCTTCTTAGGAATGATGCAATTCCAAAGCAAAAATTTGATGTCATTCTAATGAGTCTGCTTTCAATTGTAGAGTACAATGAAGCCCTGGTAAAGATTAGCAAGAAATCTTTTTTATTGTAGCTAATAAATCTGTGAAGTAAGCTCTCAGCATAAATCGAAGTTGATCTGGCATGGAGTTGCTTTATGAATAGCCCTTTGAGCAAACTCTACAGTTCTGTATGTGGTTTTAAATCACTGTAAATTTGTAGGCAGGTACATATTACAATTGTCTGTTTTTCTTTTTAGGGCTCATGTAATCAAAGAAGTTTTTGTTGTGTGTATCTTTTCAGAACACAACAGGAATTGAAAATGAATCAGGTGAGTTTAAATATAAGAATTTATACAAATACATTACTTAGATGTTAGACCAGTTCTTGATTTCTAAAAGATAGTAACACACAACATTCATTCCTCCCAGGTTTTCCTTTCTGTTCTTAATGCCATTAATGAATCCATTGCTTTCATGGTGTGCATTTTGGGGGCGTGGGTTGGCATTTCTATGGAACCCTGAGTAGAGGACTCATTCATTCTTAGGGACCTAATTCGGATTTTCTTTCTTTCTTCTTTTCTTTCTTTCTCTTTTTTTTTTTTTACCTCTCCCCTGCTACACTCTGGTGTTAATTATTTGTTTTGTTTTGAGGCTTACTAAGCTTTTATTTTTAATACTTTTAATTTCGTAATACCCATTGACTGAAAAGAGAGTATTAAAAGTTTTGTTGTTGTTTTTTAAAGACCAAAATTGATCAGATGGGAAACTTTAAGATGCTCTGTCTTTGAAAAACCTGTTCATGGAGTAGAAAACAAGAGGGCAGATATTGAAATGTAAGATGTGCTTCACCTTTCAGGGGTTTGGGATTACCTGGAGATTAAACAGTTCTGCTGTGGACATTTCTGTAGCCTCAAGGGTGTTCTGATAAGTAGAACCTGTTATATGGATTTAATATATTGTAGGGTAGAATTCTTATTTTCTGATCTTAATATTATTCACTTGCAGTGATAGAAATTTATGGGTGTCAGAAACACTCTCTTTTGAAATCTTTATAAACACATTTTTTTTTAAAAAGGACAGAACTTAAATATGTGAAGTCTATAATTTTTAGTGCTTAGCTTAAAACTACCAGTCTGGAAAATATTTGTATCCCTCATCAAGTGAAACTTGGGACACCTTTTTATCAGTTGCAGGTGCCTCTAACTGAGATCACAAGTCCAATTTTATTAGGTGGCCAAGTTTAATAAATTCAGTCCTGTGTTGCATTGAGAGATGTGAAATTTTTGGAATGGATTCTTTGATTTCTTTTTATTACTTTCTTTATCAAAATATGTTTATGTTAATGCACAGGACCATACGTCATAAAAATGAATCTGGTGAACACATGGGGCACGTGGTTTCCATTATTTTAAAACTTGCAGATTTACTGACATGCTTTTGAAGGCAAATTGTTTTTGAAAGGGTAAAATGGGGGAGGGAAGGAGAACAGTGGATTTTCACAGTCATTGCCCATAAAGTTATATGCATATATGTGTCATAGATTTCATATATTTTCCCATTTTAAGACTGATTCTTAATGTGAACCTTGTTACCCAAAGGAACTTGCTTTTCTAATGGCCCAGGAACTGTTGTTAGTTAGAAGTCTTGATTTTGGATTAGAATGATCATGGAAAAAAAAAAAAAAAAAAAAAAAAAAAAAAAAAGAACAATCGTGAAAGTTTCCAAAGTGGAATCTAAATATTGACGTTGCTTTTGTTGCCTCATTGTTGAGCAGTCATTATTTCAGTGGCTACAACTTTCACCTTAGGCTTAATAATGCTTTAATTCTTACATCTTATTAGGCTATTAGTATTTTTAATATTTTATTTCTTTGACACCTCACACATTCGCTTCAATATTTCATTTATATCAAATGAACTTGTATTTAAAGAAAGTCCACATGCCATTTAAAAGAGTTGTGACCATTTCTTTTTTTGGCTTTTTACAGTTTCATTTTGCGTTTGACAAGTTTTAATATCAGATCTGCAGAGGACTGCCTTTGATGCTAAATGCCAAATATCAATGGAAAAGGGTCCTCTTATGTTTCTAATGGTTAGCACATTTCTGATGTGGGTGTAATTTAAATGGCCTGGTAGTAATGAAACTTTTATTTGTATTATAAAAAGTCCACTTTTTATGAGTAAAATTTCAGCATCTTTAGTTATATTTTCTTTATTTGAGGAATATTAGTTACATGATATTTAGTCCTGATTATTATGTCATGGCAAAAAATCTATGAGTGTTCCTGAATAGTTATCCCATTAATTTTTAAAAATTAAGAATTGTTTCAGGACATTTTATGTTTTTCCCTCTTGTATTTATTCTTCTCATTTGCAGCCAGTGAAAATGAGCAATGCATGCTTCAAAACTTCTAAATAACTATACAAAAGTGTAGATATTCAGAAAGTTTTAACTTGAACCAGATTTGTAATTCAAATCTTGATGGTGAGTTTTGGGTTAGATTTTTCTCTCTAGGGACTGATCCATATAGCTTTGATGAATGTTAGCTGTCAGATCTGGCCCTTGTAATGGGTGTGGTCTCTAAGACAATACACGGCATCATTCATCCATGTATGCCTGACAGCCAAGTTTTAGGGACTAAAGGACCCTAGGAGTGAGCATACCATATTGTTTACAAGTTAGTCCTTTAGAGGAAACGAGAGTTCAAAGCCCCAAGCGTGCTGGTATTTTAAGCACTGACTATTGAAGCAGCCTCTGGACTGCTCAGTGTTACCAATGCGTTTCGAGTGGTCGCTTGCGAGGCTTTCCCTCCAATCCCAGCCCTGGGTTCCTGGAGCTAAGGCCCACTTGTTCTTTACCCTTCTTTCTCTTCTGGTCTGTTCTCCACTCAGCACTTACCCCTTTCGTACTATCTCTTGTCTTCCCAATTTAGAACCCAGCTTGCTTTCCATGTGAGCCTTTGTTCTTCTAACTGAGCCCAGGCCTGATTGGCAGGCAAGAGGAGCAACTCTCTACCTCCTTCCCTCGCTGTCCATTTTCTTTTCTCTCCATTTGCAAATCATAGATATCCTTTTCTCCACTTACTTTACACATCCATCTAAATATTTAACTTCGAGATGTTCCACTATTTTTCTTCTCTTTTTTTCTTAGATTTATATAACAGAATCCAGAACTTTATAAATGGTTCTCTTGTTGAAGAGTTTAGAATGCTTTATAGAAGTTCCTCACCTCCTTTCCTTCAATGTCCTTCGTTATAATGTTGATGAGATGCCTTAGGAAGTTAACTCTTGTTTGTATCACTTAGCCCTATGCTAAAGTTGTTTCATTTTACCACATTTCACTTAAAGTTGCACAATCTATGAATGACATTAAATGAGGACTTACTGTACTTTTATAGAACATAAAAGTGAGTGCAGTTCCATAATGCAACTCTGCTCAAAGTAGCTTAAAGTAGGTATGTTAGAGTTTAATGCCATATTCCTATCTGTTGAGTGCTTACCCAGCATGCCAGGCATTTCGTTATCGCACATACATTTTCTTATTAATTCAGTCTTCATACCCACCCTATGAAGTACAGGTTTTTTAACCATTTTATGGATGAAGACATTAAGGCCCAGAGAAGTGGTTCAGCCATGATCATTCAGACATGTGGAAGGTCTCTGATTCACACCCAGCCCTGTAGATTCCAAAGCCTGGTTCTTGCTCACTGTGCTATATTGCTATATCAGGATAAGCTGTGTGATGCCGTGCTGACAGGCTGCTCCAAAATCTTTGGGGCTTAACACAGCAGCCATTTATTTCTGTTTCTCAGTACACATCCATTGTGGCTCTGCTATTGTGGTTGCTCAAGAACCAAGGATGATGGAGGCTTTGTCTTAACACATGTCACTTCTGTTTACATTTACCTGGCCAGAGTTAATCATATGGCCACATGTAATTTAAAACTCAGGTGGGGGGAGCAGAGCATTCCGTCAAGTGCCTGGGAGGAGAGGAGAACTGTAATATTGGGGTATAGCCCCAGTCATTCCAGCTTTATTGATATATATTTAATATATAACATTCTGTAGTCTTTCACCTTGATGATTTAATACAATGGCCTTGATTACCAGTTTATCGAGTCACACTTAATTTTCTAAAAAGAACCTTTGTATAACTCTTATTACTAATATTTGAAACTTCTACCAGTATAGTAGCTTATGATTGCAGCATCTCTCTGTCCTCATCAGTAATCTGTGGTAATGCCAGCAATTTAGCCTTCTAAACTTGTTTTAAAGTCTTACATACAAAAAAAAAAATCAAAAGGAAGGTATAATCACTTGATGCTGCAAATGTAACCCTGAGAACTGTGATAAGCCATCCATATTTCCATCATCTTCACTGTGCTGAAGTTCATTCATCCCATCACTCATCCTGCATAGACTGCATCCCAGTGTGCTGTGGATTCTGCAGTGAAGCAGATAGGTAAGGGCTCTGCTCTGCAACTTACATACTCGCAGAGGACGACAGTGCAAAAGCAGGAAGATAAGTTCAGACAGTGAAAAGTGCTGTGAAGACAGTGCAGCAAGGTAATGTGATAAAGAATGCTGGGTGAAGGTAGGGGGAGGTTCTCTGGATTACATGGTCAGAGAAGGCTATTCCAGAAGGGTGATTAACAATAGAATCATAATAAATTAATAGAATTCTTAATAATAATAATTGAATAATAGGCCCAAGTAATAAGCAAGAACCAGATATATGAGGATCTTGGGAAAGAAAATTCTAGGCAGAGTGAACAACAGATAGTACAAAGGCCTTGAGGTGGGAATGAGCTTGCTGGTTCAAGGCACGGAGCAAGCCAGGGATGGAGCTTGGCAATATGGGACTCTGGGACAAGATGAAGTTAGTATGTGAGGCAAGGGTCAGATTTATAGGTCCTTAAAGGCCATGGGAAGAAGTTTATTTTTTATTATAAGTTCAGTGGGAAGCCACTGGACAGTGACATACTTTGGTTTCCATTTTTAGAATAGCATGCTCACTGTGCCATGAGCCTGGATTGTAAAGGGCCAAGAGTGTAGTAATATGTTTGTTCACTATTGAGATTAACACCATATTTGAGGACATTTTCTTCACTTGGACAACTTAATGGACCTGCCAGCTTTGTGCAGGAGGGTATTTTTTAATGTTTCAGAACTGTTTGACTGCTTTTCTTTTCCAAAGACGGTATATAAGATTTTCTTATCTATGTCCCCATCTGTTTATTGTTATTGCAGTCTTACTCATTCCTTAACCACATATAATTTAATGCTATTTCAGTAAACTGAAGCTTGTTTGATCCCCACCCCCACCCATT